TGATGTGAGCAAGACAGAAGCCACTTCATGCTTCTGTTTGGTTCTAAACATGCTTTCTGATTCTAAATTAGCTTGTGATAATCATGTGACCAGTGTGCCTGTGTGATAACCATGCAGTGTAACCATATGGCCCGCATGCCAGAAAATTTACCTCATGGACCCTTTCAAGAAACATAAAAATGTGTTTTTGGCACAGTAGGATTAGCACATGTTATTTGTACACCATGTAAGATTAGCACAGGTTGTTCGTTATCCAACTCCCCAGGCTTTAAAAGATGAAGCCTCTGTCTGCTCTTCAGCTTAGCCCTCTGGCCACACGCTGAGGGCTCTGCCCGGGTGCTGCTCTTGGAAAGTTACCGCTGGAGCTCGGTAACTTGTCTGTGACCATCAGTCTGCTTATCTGGAATGCCTGTCTGGCTCCTGGACTGTGCCATTCTCCAGAATGCTGTGAGTTCCACTGTTTCCTGTTGGGAGCCCCGTGTTCTCACGGCATGTTGGTTGGGTGGAAGAAAGTTCCTGCACCATTGATGCCACCTCCAGCTTCCAGCTTATGCCACGGGTGAGGTTCCCCTCTGTTTTGCTATGATTATGATAAATGATCAGTAAACCCTTGTATTAGGGAGATTGCTTGACTCTTGGGATCTTTGTTTGGCAGATGCACTGACTCTGCTCCTCTGAGCCCCAGCCTAACTCAGGGCCTTTTGTCTCCAAGCGTAACCTCTGTGTCTGCTTTTGACACCCAGTTAAAATTTTGTTTGCTAAAAAAGTTATAGGGCATATACTTCATTCATAGCTGGAAGTTCAGAGTTAAAAGTGACTCTATGTGTTTTTGTTCCAAAATAGCTGATTCTTTTTTGTTTTGTTTAGTGCCGGAGATTGAACTCTGGCCCTTGCGCTTGTGAGGCAAGTGGTGGAACCACTGAGCCAAACCTCGGGCCCTATTTCTTTTTAAATTAACGACATGAACAGTGTTAGCAGCAAAAGAGCCCTCTTCATCTTACAGTTTACAGGTGTTGTGTGCCTGGACGAACACTCTGTGACTGCATCCTTCCTCGTAAATATACAGAGGTTGTTTAGTTGCCATTGTTATTGTCTCTAGTGGGGGAGGGGAACAGCAGTGAATTGGGGCAGCAAATGCTTATTTTTGTCTAAGGGAAGGGTTCCTCAGGTATTAGATCCAAGTGCTACAGTATTAAATCTTATTCCTGGTCTTAACATACCCCTTGTAGTCTGAAGGGCTAGGATAAAGCAAAACTGATTGAGTCTTACTGCAATATTAGTTGATGACAAGCAATTAGTTATACTTAAATTTTAAGCTTTGCTCTTTTAAAAGTGATTTTTAAAATTAAAATCATTAAAAATAGTTCATACCTTATAGCAGCTTAAGGCATTTATATGTATATGATTATCAGCAAAGTTATTTTTAAAAACTTGGATATTGATATTAAATTGGGTTAAGATTTATTAGTTAAAATTCTTGCTAAGTATTAAAGCTCCTCCTTTATAAGGAGATGCCCGCTTCTGATCGCCTGTGCTTGTGCCTATTGACAGCACACCGTGTAAATGATATATGGATGGTATGGCACAAAACCGTCGTCTGCCAGTGTCTAATGTCAAAGTCTTGCTTTCACTCCTCTCAAAGAGAATTCATTTATTAAACGGTCACTTTTCTGTAATCATCTCGATAGCAAGTAGGAAGGAGGGGATGAATTTCCTGAACTCACCCTTCCATGTTCAGAACATGTCAGTGCTACCAGGATGTGGCTGGATGCCAGAGATGTTCTCAGGTATGGCCTGCAGGGGAAAGATGTACTTGGCTTATAAAGTTGTAAAACCTTAGGGAAGAGTGGAAATCACTTCAGCTACTTGGGTTTGCAAGATGTTTAAACCAGTTTAGTTTGGGATAATAAAAATATTCTTTCATTTATACTCTCATTTGAAAAGAAAAACTGCATCTTTTTGGTTTAATGTACAACCCTCTAGACTCATGAAAAGCACATCTGAATTTATTTGGCATTCTTCCCACTCCTGCCCTCCCCATAGTAACTTGGGATATAAACTTTAATGACTAAAACTTTTATACTTAAGTTGTACTTAGATATATTGAATACTTTGTCCTCTTTTCCTGCTCTGAAGTTACTGCAGCTCTTCATAGTAACCAGCTCATTATTCTGAATGTTGGGTTTGATGGATGCCAGTCTGGTGTTGATATGCCTTCCCTATTTTTGCTATTGTTTATGTCTGTGCTCCTGTTCGCCATTCAGATTTCTTATTTGTCTTTAAAGATGGCCAGTGGTGCTTTCGGGACTACTTTGATTGGATTTGTGTTCAGAAGGCTAACCATAGTAGCAGTGGGCAACTGAGTGCCCAGTCCTGCTGGCCAAGTGCCAGGCCTCTTGGAGAAGTAGTGACTCCAGGTCTGGGGCAGGGAAAACACAGGATGAGCTGTGGTATTCTGTGGGGTGTGCTTAAGGGCACTGGTTGACATTGAAGGAGGCAAGCCCAGAACTGGGGTGAGAGAATATGTGACGACAGTACAGAGTTGTAGCCCTCAGAATAAATGAAATAGCTACAAATCCATAAATAAAAATAATCCAATAAATGAATAGGGAAGGGGAACTGCTTTCTTATAGAAGTCACATTAAATACAGAAGTGAGAGAAACAGAAAACCACATGCCATAACCAGCAGAACCCACAATCGATGCTCAAATAATGGATAAAGTGAAGGGAAAAGGGTACAGTCTCCCTCAAGATATTCACTCATTATAAAGGGAAAAATGGTAACTGTGCAGGAAGGAACCCAGCACATACCACCTCACCTTACCCCATTGGTAATTAAGGTTAGTGTCAGCAGGAATGAGATAGGTCAGCATCCTAAACCCTGTGTGATATGTTGAAAAGAGCAAACCCTTCAGCAGTGACAGCATTGCCTAAGTGAGTAACATCAATCTAATCAAGAGAGGACATCAGATATACCTAAATTAGGAAGAACTACAAAATCAGTGTTAAGGTCACGAAGAGCAAGGAATGTGGAAGGAACTCAGCTAAAGCCATTTTGAGGGAAGGGAGGAGATATGAGGACTAGACGGGTATAAAATCCTGAATTCACCACAAGTTTTTGGGCAAACTTCAATATTTGAGCTGCACCTGTGCCAGTGTTTGCAGTTGTACAGTGTGCGTGTGACATGCTGACCTCGAGAACTTCCTGAAGGGTGGGCAGGGGCTCTTCATACATCAAAGATTGTGTGAACATGGAAGATTAAAAGAAGGAGCCATGGGCCTTGCTGATGGCAGTGTGAATGGGTTGGATGCAAAGACTTTCACAGAGAACACGGTGGGTGGGCTGGACAGGGGTCCCACTGATGTGGAGGATGGTGCAGACTGAAGTCTACAGCTCACAGAGGAGCCAGCAGTTTCTTAGCTAAGGAAAGACTAGCCCAGGAAGGCATAAGGCTGAGGTGGAAAAGGGAGATGAATCTTGGTAAAATACCAGGATGATGCGAGAATTTGGAGCTGTATTGCCAGGTTGTTAGACATCAGGATCTAGAGGTAGGCAAGCCACACTCTGAGGGGACAGCAGGAAGCAGGTGAAGAAATGAGATGAACCAGGGGGACAGGGGCAGGATCAGAGAGTCCCAGCACATACAGGGTAGGTGAGAAGGAAGGTGAGAGAGAGACAGACAAACTTGTACACAGGAAGACCTCCTGCCCCTGGGCCACACATCCAAGGCCTCTCAGCATGGCCTCAGCCACCCAGGTCTGGCCTGGACATTTTCCTAGGAAAACAACCACCTAACCTAAGCTCTAGACAGTATGCAGCCACGTGCAGCAGCCACACAGGTTAAGACTGCAGAAGTGAAATTGTCCAGTGTGGCTGCAGGGAAAAGATGTGTGTGGAGTCCTTTTGTTCTTAAAGTTCTCTTTGTGTTCTTTACAGTGGAAACACATGTTGAAGGGGTTATTTCTGCACACATTCCCTGAGAATATGATGAAATTCAGAAGGGCCCATGTTTTTATGTAAAATGCTCTTCTGTGATGCCAAGTAAATTTGTTTCTCCTATAATCCACTCTCTGTTTCTCCATTCAGCTTTCAGGTTGCAGATTGTTGCACATCTCCCGATTGTGGTGAATTTGCATTTTGTACTGTCCCAGAAATTACTGAGGCACCTGTGCTAGGCATTCTGATTTCTTCCACACAATTTTTAGTTACTCTGAATTCCTTTCTCTGAATTTAATTACTTAATCTAAATTTAATCTTTTATTAGCTTTTTCTCCTCGAGTTTTCCTGTGTGATGTTCTGACTGAGAACATGTCCATTTGTAAGCCACAGTGAAGTCAGGATGGAAATATTTATTCATTAGGACCCCCTCCCCAAAAAGTAGAACGTAAACTAAAACATGTAAAGTGAGCAATCTCCACATACATGCTAAAACCATATGAGTTGTACAGAATCGTTTCTTCTATTATGTTTGTCAGCCTGCTCAACTTGAGAAGGGAGAGAGATGGCGAGAGAGGGTGACAGGCATCTGAGCCCTCCTGGTCTCAGATTAGATGGGTACTAGCTTTAGGAGTTGTGTGGCCTGCCCATAGTCTGACTGGCCTAGAGGGACCTGGATCCCTGGTGGCTCACAGCTGCATCATGGGAGAAATTCGAAGGAGAGACAAACTCCTGGAAGAGCAGTCAGTACAGCACAGGTACACAGAGTAATCACCCGGAGAGACTCTTCCCAGGTAGCCTCTGAGGCTGTGCCCAGGAGGAAAATAGCAGCACCATATGGGGTCTTCTGAGGGGCAGGACCTGGGGGGGTTGTCTGAGGATTGGTGTCTGGGTAGTAGTCTGAAATTCTTGCCTAGAATCCCCAGGGCCTAGTGATCAACATGGGGTCCATTTGCTTGATTTTCATGAGATAAGGATGTCTTTTTTTAAAAAAAATGGAAGTCATGTATTATTTGAATTAGTAAGATATTCTTTTCTTTTGCTAATTGGTTGTCTTTATAGTGTTCGTTGAAAAAGTGCTGAAGAAACTTTTTCCTAATGTTTCAAGTAGCCAAGAAAAGGAGACACCTGAGACTCCAATCTCAGAAACACCACTCAAGAAAGTGACCTCTGAGAGAGTGAAATGCAAGCATGTTCATCATTTGACAGGTGAGGTGGTTTTGCAGGTAAGGATGGGTTATAGGCCCTCAGTTTTTCCCATGTTGTGCACTTGTGTGTGGAATGTTTCCTCTTAGTCTTGGGCATCTCTTTGCTGAGCAACTGGTGCACAAGTCTTGCAGCAGTGGTCAGTGAGGCAGATATCATTCTAAACAGGCTCTGGTGAGTCAATTTTCTTTGGAGGGAAACCAGTATTAGCATTTCCCAGCCATGCTTAGACTACAGAATGTTGTTGTTGAGTTTGTGCATGTTATATTCTGAGGAAATTGGATTGTGGATAGGGTTTTGGTTCAGCCAGACGAAGAACAGCAGCCTCTACCATTGTTGCTGTGTCCCCAGTCACTGTACTGACCCCTGCTGTCTTCCTTGGCTTCTGTTCACTCAGAGACAGTGCTTGATATTCCTTGTCAGTGGTCTTCAGAAGACATCTGTCCCAGTGACAGCCCTACTCAATGTAACTTGGGTGGCAGGAACATCTACAATGAGAAGTCCAGCAACTCTAGTTCCCTAGCGGTGCTGCAGTGTTAACCCATTGGCAGACCACTCTAGAAAAGTCACATGAATAGACTACAAGTGGACCTGCTTTTTTCTCAGTAGATACATAAATACATAAAGCCCATCTTGGGTTCCTGAGATCGCTTTCCTATCTTTTTAGCAGTAGTTTCTTGCTGGGTATTTGTTCCATACATGATTCTATTCCTAAGGGCTGTTTGATCTCCTGCTGGTTCAGCTGAACAACCTTTCGAAGAGAAATTCAGTTTGATTCCCATATTTTACATCTTATAAGACTTCCTCCATTGGATCCCAACGGGCAGGCTTCCAGTCTCACATACGGCATCAGCATCCCACCCCACAAGTCAGATATCCATTTACTGTACCTGGAGCATATTTTTCCACGGAAATAATATTGTGCATTGTGATTGGATTTCCAGACAAGCCCAGTGAGGCCAATTAACCTATAATATAATGAATGTCTGTAGTACCATTATGTTTTGGATACCAGTTGATTAGAAGACAAATGAGAAGGAAAGCATCTCCTTTACTTCTTATAGATATGATATTCTTTAGGATAAATCTGTTGATTCCATATTCCCTTTCTATATCCTTCTTACATGACTTGATGTTTTCAAGATATTATAAATTCTGAAGATTGTGTAAACTAATACTAAGGAATAAGTTGACTGATGTAAAATGTAATTTTTACTTTTAAATGACTATACCTACTATTGGTAGAATCATTTACTCTAAAAAATCACATACGTACGTCTTACCCCTAGTACTTCAGAATGTGACTGTATATGGAGAATGGGGATATTTAAAAGGTGATTAAGGTTAAATGAAACTGTTGGTGAGCATCTGGTTTGTTTCCAGGTTTTTGTTTATGAACAGGCTTTCATGAATGTCCTTTTTCATGAATGCTTTCTAAGGGCACATGGGCCACAGTTTCTCTTGGTGTTGTTCCTAGGCACAGACTCATTGTGTGATATTGTATAATAAGGTATGCATATGTTCAATTATGAAAGGAAAAGCTAAGCTGTTTCCCAAATTGATTTAACTAATTTATACTCCCACCAACAGTGTATAAGAGAGCCTCGCTATTATTTAACCTTGCCCAACTGCTTTATATTTGCCAAATGAATGGATGTAAGAGAAATAACTAAGAAAAATATAAGTGGCTGGCAGAGTTTGAGGTGAGATAGTACTTATAGCTAAGTAATTACTCTGTGGTACTGTAATGGTGGATATATATTACAGTGCATTTATCAAAATCCATAGAATATACACCAAGATTGAACCCTAATGTAAACTGTGGACTTTGGATGATGAGGATGTATCAGTACATAATCATCTATTGTAACTCAAGTAGATGTTGCTGCATCTGTTCCTGTGTGGAGGCACAGAAATATATGAAACTTTTTGCTCAGTTTTACTGTGAAAGCATAACCATACTAAAACATAAAATCTTTCTGAAAGTTCCCTTCCCTTAATATCCATTGTTATTCATTATATTAGCAGACTAAGGAAGGAAAAATCACATAGTTTTGATGCATGAATAGTATTTAAAAGCCTAAAATTACACTAAGATACCACTTTTCCACTATATTCTCAGTATTAATTTCCCTGATGTTTTGCTAATTTATTAATTTCTATTTTAACTTTGGCATATCTCCTTTGTGACTATTTTGTTTTCCTTTCCTAGTTTGTAATGAATATTTAGATAATTTGGTTTTTAGAATTTCTTCTTCACTAATAAGTATATTTTATAATATTTTAAAAAGATTAATTGAGGTCATTAGGATAGACTACTATAATCTCACATGCATGGTGTCCTTATAAGAGGAGATTAGGGCCAGGTATTTAGCTCAGTGGTTCCTCCACCTGCCTTGCAAGCACAAGGATCTGAGTTCAATCCCTGGTACCAAAAAAAGAGAGAGAGAGATTAGACCACAGTTGCATACAGAGGGAAGCTGAATCACAGTGGAACTGTATATTACATAAAAGAACTGGTAAGTATCTTCCAGGAAGAAACTGGCTTAGAATTTATAGGTAGTGTTAATTTTTAACTTAGAAACGATTCATTCACACATAAAGCTTCAATTGTGTCATCTTCCTACCACCAGAATAGATACAAGTGAATAATCACTGTTAAATCTTTGGTTAAGTTAAAGGAGAGAATAAAAAGCAAACATCCTAAAAAACAGAAAAAGATTAAGTTCAGTAAAAGTCAGAGCATCATAGAATACACTTACACAAACCTAGGTAGTGTAAACCACTGTGCAGTAGGCTGTGTGGTCTGGCCTCCTGCTCCTGGGCCACACCCTTGTGCACCATGTTCCTGTAACTCAGTGCCAAGATTTTGTGTATCTAAGAGTATCTAAATATAGAGATGATACAGTAGAAAATGTCCAGCTTCGTTAGGATCTTAATGTGATTATCATATTTGATCCATTGTTGACCAACAAGTCATTCTGCAGTATTTAACTATATTTTCTTGCTTAAAATTATTACATTTTTACTTTTAAAATGACTTTTTAAGGTGGAGGTGTCAACACAAGCCAGTGACTGTTGGGGAGCCAGCTACATGAAAGGGCAGGCAGAGAATATACTGAGGATGAGGTGTGGGAGGCCCAGGATGACTACATCAGGGTGGGTGCTGGCACCCGGAGCAGCTCTCCCCACGGGCGACTTCAGAGGCTTCCTACTTTCTGTCATGTCTGGTGACTCTGTTCCAACAGGAGACATTAGTGGCACGAACAGTTTAGTCCCTTGACTGGGACCAGTTGGCCCTACAAAGGAAAAATCTGGGTTACTGTGAAGCTTTATAAGGATAGGGAGATGGCTACATCCAGAAAGGACTCACATGAGACCTGGAAGGGTATCGGGACTCTTGTGTCTTGATATCTCCTGTGACCTTTTTACGGTTTTCTCCTCAGAGCCATCCTCCATTTTCTGAGGAGGCAAATCTGAGTGAGCAAACCGTGTACTATTTCACATGGCTTTAAGTAACAAACACAAGTATAGGTGTATCTGAGAGTTTTTAAATTTAATTTTACAGATGCAAATATGCCTAACATGTATGTCTTTTTTTTTTTTTTGTACCAGGGATTGAACTCGGGCCCTTGCACTTGTTAGGCAGGTGCCAGAACCAAACCCCCAGCCCTAATATGTATGTCTTTATGAGAAAACTCTATATAATGTGCAGCGATATATAATATTCTTAACCTAAAATTTACTACTTGCCATTCCAAAGGATATCATCCAGTGGTTTTCAGTAGATTAGCAATATTGTGGAATTATCACTACACCTAATTCCAAAATGCTTTATCATCTTAACAAGATACCCTGTATCCATTAAGCACTCACTCCCCATCCCTCTCTTCCAACTCCAGACAACCACTATTCTACTTTCTGTCTCTATATCTTTATCTTTTCAGGACTTTGCACATCAGTGGAGTCATACAATATGTAACTTTTTGGGTCTACTGTATTTCACTTAGTTTACTATTTTGTTTTGTTTTTTGGTACTGGGGATCGAACTCAGGTCCTCGCGCTTGCAAGGCAGGCGGTGGAACCACTGAGCTAGATCCCTGGTCCTTAGCTTACTGTTTTTAAAGTTTATGTAGTAGCATGTGTAAGCCCTTCATTATTTTTAATGGGTGAACAATATTTCACCGTATATACATTTTGTTTATCCATTCACCAGCTAATGAACACTTGTTTGGTCCTACTCTTTGGCTCTTACTAATAATATAGTTGAACCAGATGTGATGGTGCACACCTATAATCCCAGTATTCAGGAAGCTGAGGCAGGCGAATTGCCATGAGTTCAAGGCCAACCTGGCTACATAGTGAGATCCTGTCTCCAAAAATACTCAAAACATACTATTACTATAAATACCCATTAGTGAGTTTGTATATGGACGTATATTTTCAATTTTTGAAAGTATATATAAGTTGCAATCAAAATATACAATGAATGTAATCCCAGCACTCAGGAAGTTGAAACAGTAGGATCATCATGAGTTCAGGGCCAGCCTGGGCTACATAGTGAGTTCAAAGCCAGCATGAATTATACGGCGAGGCCCTATCTCAAAAGAGCAAAATAAATAAATAATAATTGTCCATTGGGTATCAATTACTGGGGACCCCTGAAACGTTATTGAAAACCTCTGCAGGAGGTTCCAGTCTCCTACTCAGTATATGATGTAGGCCTGAGGAAAAAACTAAAAGAACTAAGAGAAAGCAGGGGCCAAGATTACCAAGGCCAGTACTACTGACAGAGGTGCTGGCCAGTCCAAATCACTGACTTTTAGTGGTAATCTGCATAAAGGCAAGCTACATGCAAGGGCAGGACTATGCGTGAAGTTGCACAGTCGTGCAATTTCTATGGAGAATAACGTAAGCAAGGCTCGTAAAAGACAATACAAAGCACTCTCCAATTAGGAACAGAATAGATAAAATGTAAGGTTGTGATTAGAACACTGTCCTTC